GCGGCCGCGCCGACCCGTCCTCCGCAGCAGCCGGACCGCGCGGCGCCGCGCCTGACAGCTCGGAGGAGGCGCTCGAAGGCAATAAAAGCTCGCGGCCCCCGAGCCGCTCTTTAGTGCGCACCGCGGGGCGGGCGCGCGGGGCCCAAACCCACAACTTTGAGGGACGTCACTCCGGGCGCGGGGGCGCGGCCGGGCGGGCCGCCGGTGGGTGGGGGTGTCCCGGGGCCTCCAATCGGACGCGGCCTCGAGCCTCGCGTCGCCCCTGGGGCCCGCCCACCAGGGAGCGCCGCGGCGTCGGATTCGCTGAGAGGAGGGGGCGTCGGGCCGCGCCCGCCTAGCTCCCGCCCCTAGCACCCGGTGGGCGGGGCCAGGAGGGGCGGGACACGGAGAGGGGGCGGCTCGGCCGCGGGGCCTCGGCCGTCTCGGTTAATTGTGCTAAATAAAGTGGGAAAAGGGAGGGAGAGTAGGGACAGAGAGCGTATTACTTTTTAAAGAGAAGTGTGATAAAATCCAGGCCTTTTATGGGAAAGCACTCATACTCTGCCCCCTGCACCTAGAGTGGAGCTGCACCCGGGAAAGCGGAGCGCACGGGGCAGGCGCGCCCTGCTGCTCCTCCCGCGGGGTTCACCGGAGCCGCCCGCTCCCCGGAGCTGTGCGGATGAACTGGTTGCTCCTGAAGTCTGTACAGCTCGGTAATGCCCTGTAGGCCGAAGCACGTCCTCTCCCGCCGTCCGCCTCCGCCCCTCTCCGTGCTCTCCCCTCCCGGGTCCCCGAGCGCTGTCGTTTCTGGGTTCGCTCAGTTCTCAGCAAGGAGATCCGCTTCTCGGGAATCTCTGTCTCCCGTGCACAACTCTCCTCTCTTTCCTTTGCTTATTCGTACTCGCTTTGGGCTTGCACGGAGGCAAGAGCCCCGGGATTCAAGCGGAGACGGGGTGCAGAAGCTTCTTGTGCCTCCCGGGCTCCATCCCGGGGCTGGAGCTGCAGGGGGAAGTTACTGGCCTCAGTTTGTGGCGCCGATGTCCAGGGTCTAGGCGTGGACGGTTGTTCTCACTGCTTCTACGCCCTGGCCGGCTTTAAGTTCCCCTCGGAGTTGAACTGTATACCTAGGCGGAAAACTCTCGGACAGTTTTGAGAGCTAGGTTATTCAGGTAATGCGCCACAGCAGTTTGGATGAGATCCGTAAGTCCATACTTACTGAGCAGAGCACAGAAAATCCCACAATAAACGGCCCAAGGACGGCACTTCAGCAGCCCCAGGATGGACGGGTTTGGCCGCGAGGCTGTGGCGGCGCAGCGGGAAATCGGGAGGGTTCGCTCTCCTCCAAACCTGCGTTTCCAAAGCTCGGTCTTTGCAGAGTGGGTCTCTGGTCGAGCTTGAGGTTTGGGGTGCAATATGGATTGTTCACCTTGTGCTGCTCACCTTGACCTACAAGGGGTCTCCTCCTCCTTTCTTTATTAAGTTCGAGGCCTGGACAAACGCATCATTTCGTAGACTTTGAGACCGCCCTGGGGAGAAGGACGCCTTTCCCCAGTGTGTGCTATGCTGAGGAGTCTGGCCAGGACTCCAGGACTCGGCCGAGTAGGCGCCGGCTGCGTCTCCCGTGGGTGCCAGCACCGGCTGCTCCCCACACGACAGGAGGGGTCGGCCGTGCCCCTCCCAGCAGCTGGGGCCCTCAGGAAGAGAGCGGAGGGAGTGTCTCCCTCAGAGGCACACAGGGCTCTCGGATCCTCCGGCGCCGTCCTTGCGTCCTCGGGACCCAAGGCAGAGAGGCTGGTGAACCCGGAAACTTCAGCCTCAAAAAGTGATCCCTCTTTTATCGCCTGGAAATATTGTAACCGGGAAAGAGGTTTTTCCTGTGGACAACTCGATGTCTACTATGTTAAAAGGGACACACAGAAAACCGAGGAGGTCGAGTCTATCCAACTCTAAATGCACTCTACCATCAGCCTGTGGCTGCGAAGCTGGCCAGAAAGGAGTTTCCTTCCCTTGCTTGTATGCGTCGTTCACACGGCAGAACTAAAATAATGTTGTTAATGTAACCGTACAAATTCTGGGGTCTGTGCACCTTCATCCCCGCGGGAATCTCAGGGTCTGTCCCAGCTAGGAACCAAGGAAGAAGGCGCGAAGGGAGGAGGCTGCCTTGCCCTGGGGAGCGAGCGATCACAGGGCCTGGGCTCCTGCCGAAGTGAGACCACCAGGACGAGCCCCGCACAAGCCTGCCTCGAGGCCGATTCTGGCTTGGTCTCCTTTGGGGACCCGGGACCTCCACACCCTCTTGCCCAAGACTGAGAATGGACGATTTCAACCACCCCAAGAATGGAATGTGGGCCCTGCGGTAGCGACGGCCCGCGCAGCCCTGCACTGTATGAACACGTAGGGGGGTGCACAGATTTGCACAAGTGCGTACATGTACGGGGCGAGGGGAGACTGTTTTGAAGCAGATGATACGCATTGTATTTGAAAACTAAATGACAGCTGTTTGGCAAATCCCAGGTTGCAGAAAAAGCTCCCAAGTGTAGGCGTGGGGAGGAGACGCCCTGTCCCCAGGTGCCCGCCTCAGCCACTCCTGGGCGGCGCCTGCACTGTCCACTGGGCCTCCCGCCCTCACCCAGCTCTGGACTCACATACTTCCGATTCAAGTTGAAGAGGGGACGTTAAACCCAGGGTGGCTCTCAGGAA